TATTTTTTTACCTACCCTTGTATTTCTATCTATCTATCTTTTAAATTTAAAAAGAGACAATTTTAAACGTGTACGAAATTCTGCTGCATAGAAAGGCCTGGGGAACTCGATCATCAGAGGCAAGGGTGAGAACATCGGCCAGGGACCACGAAGGGCGTACGAAATGGAAACTGGAGACGTGATGCGTGGGCTTGGCCTCTTGAGAGTTTGCCTCTTTGGAATTCGTTCAGACCTTTCAGACTTCTTTAAGGCATTTAGTGTCCTGATTTTATCTCTTATATGGGAACGAGAATTTTCGTTTTCTAGGGTTTTTAGAAATTCATACCTGGCCTGGGTTAAGGGTTGCTGCACTGTTAATCACTTTCTTTGCCATGAAGTGTGTTGACTATGTGTGCAAATGATTAGTTGCAGTTTGCAGTCAGTGTCAGCAGAGAGCATGAGCAAAGTGACATTTCTCAGCGCTAAGATTAAAAATCGTCCTTTCGCTTATGCCGTGGACTCACTTCTGATCATTGCAACCTTCTAGGACAGTCGAACTCACTGTGCGTTTCCAAGACTTTATTGGAAGTAGGCAGCCTCATCCTTGCCCTCTGGAGCAGCTGTTGGATTTGAACGGCCGAGGTTGTACTGTGCAGCTCAGTGCATAGGCCACTGTGCCACCAAAGCTTCTAACTAAAATGGCTCTATGAACATTTCATAACTATTCTGCAGAGATTTGGCAGCTCTGCCATTCTAGTAATGTTAGCCCAAGGAGGAGGAAGGAATTCAGGATACGAATGGGAACAAGTGCATTGTGCAGCCCTGCGGTTTCTCCTCTTGTTAAGCCTTGCTAACGGAGCGTGCCATGTGTCCCCCTCCCCGTTTCTTTGCAGCATGCGCCAGACTGGAGTAAATACGATGACCGGTTGATGAAAGCAGCAGAAAGGGGGGATGTAGACAAAGTGTCTTCAATCCTTGCTAAGAAGGGGGTCAATCCAGGCAAACTAGACGTTGAAGGCAGATCTGCGTAAGTACGACCAGGGCATCAGTAAGAAAAGCGAATCTGGAGGGGATGTGGGTAGACCCTTGCGGTACAAATGACATTTGTTACATTGTGGTTATCAGCGTTTAAAACGAAAAACGCTTTTGTCTTTCAGAAGCTTTTTTTCCAACGTCATGGACTAATTGTCAGTTTGAAAGACATCCAATTTAGGGAGGAAATACTAATGTACTACCTAGTAGTCCAGCTGTTTCAGCCCTATGACAAACAGCTGCCCGTTGTGTCTATATAAAGCGTTTCCATGTTCCTAATCCTGTTTGATCCTCACAGCAGCCTCATAAAAGAATTAGGGGAAAAAGTTACAGAGATTAAATAACTTGATCTATTTCTTGGGCACAAAGTTTGGGCAATTGAGTTTGAATGACAGCCAAAGGGGAGCCATGGTGAGTAGTGTGGCGAAGGTCGGGAGACAGTGGTGATCCTACCCCTTCATTCCTGCCTCACTGAGGAGGCCTCCTGACTTGTCTGTGTGGCTTTGAACTACGTATTTAACTTCTCTCCCATCCCTCTCATATTTTCATTACTTTACTACTGTTGAGGATGGGGTGCAAGATCAGGATATAAAAACCAGTTGGATCTCTCTATCCTAGGAAGGGAAACTTCAAAAAAAGAAATAAGGAAAAAAATACCATTGTCAGTGCACTTCCACCCCCTCACCTTTCCATCTCCTATCAAATACTTAGGAATAAATCTAATTAGGGACATAAAAGACTTATACAAATGAAACCACAAAACACTATTGTAAGAAACCAAGAGACCTCCATAAATGGGAAAACCTGCCATGCACATGGATAAGAAGATTTAGCATTGTGAAAATGTCAATGTTACCCAAACTAATCTACAGATAATCATGCAAACCCAATCCAAGGACAAAACTCTGACAACATTCTTTAACGAGATGGAAAAACTAATTCACAACTTTATGTGGCAAGGAAGAAAGCCCTAGATAAATAAAGCATTACTGCAGAAAGGTAACATAGTAGGAGAACTTGCGTTCCTGATCTCAGGACCTACTGCATAGCCATGGTAGTCGGGAGAGTCTGATACTAGTACAGTGGCAGACACACAGGCTAGTGGAACAAAATTGAGAACCCAAGGTAAATCCATCCCATCTAGGGACAGCTGATCTTTGACAAAGGGCTGAAGATTAAATGAGGGAAGCGGTTGTCTCTTCAACAAATGATACTGGCCAACTGGTTATCCATTTGTAAAAAATGAAATAGGATGCATACCTCCCACAATACACAAAAACCAAACCGAAAATAGGTCATAAATCGGCCGAAATGTAAAACCTAAAACTATAAAGTTCATGGGAGGTACATAATGACAAAGCCAGTGGCCCAGGTTTATGGCATAAATAGACTATCAAACAACTAAAAATACACAAGCAGCAGAATATGAAGTCCATGAGTGAGACCCCTAAAAAGAATGGAGGACCCGTTGACTAGGGTTTTTTTTTTCTTTTGCAAATACAGTCAAAAAGTGTCTGATCTCTGTAATTTATAGAAAACGTCAATACCTGAAAAACAAGCAACTCTATCAATGGGCAGAGGACATGAACAAACACGTGACCAAAGAAGTCACGTAGGTGGCTCGCAAGCCCATGAAGAGAGGCTCACTATCATTAGCCTTGGTTGAGTTGACCCGAAGCGCAACAAAACCAAGGCTGTCTCGTCCCGTGCCATCGTCACAATTGTGATTGCGACGGAGCTCGTTGTTGTGACCACCCTGTCAGTCCATCTTGGTCATTCGATGCAAATCAAGACTACAAGGAGATACCACCTCCCCCTGGAAAAACAGCATTGATCTTCCCCAACAGCAAGCAGAAAGCAACAAATGCTGATGAGGTTGTGGGTGGAGGGTATTGGATCTCTTATATACTGCCGGTGCTATTGTAATACAGCACAGCCCTCATGGGAAATGCTTCCCTTTAAGCTAGAAATACCTTATGGTCCAACAGTGTCCTGCCTAGGCTACCCTAGAGCAGTGGTTCTCAACCTGTGGGTCGTGGCCCCTTTGGGGGCCGAATGGCCCTTTCACAGAGGTCGCCCGATTCATAACAGTAGCAAAATTGTAGTTATGAAGTAGCAACGAAAATAATTTTATGGTTGGGGGGGTGGCTCACCACAACATAAATTGTATTAAAGGGTTGCGGCATTAGGAAGGTTGAGAACCACTGTCCTAGAGAAATAAAGAGCTGTGACAGCAATAGACAAGCACACACAGCCCTGTTCGGTGCAGCATTATTCACGATGGCAAAACTTAACACCAGAAACCCCCAGACCACATCAACAAACTTCACCGTCATCTCGTCGATTCTGACTGACAGCAGAAGAATTACCCCTTGGTGTCTCCGAAACTAAATCTTGCCCGGGGCAGAAGCCTCATCTTTCTCCTGTGCAGTTCTGGGTGAATTCAAACTGCTGACCTTGCGATTAGCAGCCCAATGTATAACCTGCTCTGCCTTAAGTGCCCATCAGTGCTGAGTGGGTAAACAAACTGGTACGTACACATGATAGACTCTTATGTGATGATAAACGAGTAGCAGGGAATTAATGAAACATTTCATAGTATGGATTAACTGGAAGCACATTATGATGAGTGAAATAACTCAATCACAAAAGGACAAATATTGTATGAGACCAGTATTATAAATTTTTTTAAAAAAGATTTACACATTAAAAAAATAGCACCATATTTTCATGGTTCACAGGGATGGGAGGGTGGGGGTGAAGGAGAATCATGAATCTGATAGGAAGCATGCCCATTTTGGTGAAGGGAAAGGTAATGTACAGTATATGAGGAGGTTCCCCCCCCCAAATAAAAAATGGCATTTTTTTTTTAAAGCCATGCATTTAAATTATTTTACAAAACAACCTTGTCACCTTCAAAGTAATCTCCATTATACTTAAGACATTGGTAAAATCTTCTATTCCATTCTTGGAAACATTTTTCAAACATCTGTTTGGATGGCTGATAGCACCTCCCTCATTTTTGTCTTCACATCTTCTACTCTTTCAAATCACTGTCCTTTCATGTCCCTCAGCATTCTCAGAAACAAAAAGAAGTCATACAGAGCAAGATCAGGTGAGTAAGGTGTGTGGGGCAAGAAAGGCATGCTGTTTATTGCCCAAAACTGGCACACTGAGATGG